ATTAGTGATACTAATTTGATACATTTTTAAGTCAAAACGTTCAAATCATTGGTAAAATCTAAAAAAAGAAAAGAAAACTCAAAAGGACAAAACTGAAGAAAAGAAAGAAAAGTAAGGGAGGGACTATATGAACTATTCGTCTTGCATGAGAAACGATTAGTGATACTAATTTGATAACACTTTTAAGTCAAAAAGTTCAAATCGTTGGTAAAAACTAAAAAGAAAAAGAAAACTCAAAAAGACAAAAATGAAGAAAAGAAAGAAAACTAGAAAAGAATCTAGTGTTGGCTTTGTTGAGTGTATCATAACAAATTCTCTTTAGTTCATCGTCCGTTGAAAGTGCTTTACCATTCTGTTGAATCTATAAGCTTTACTTAAGTCTTTGCCCTATTCAATTTCTCAGATCGTTTTGATGGTGGAGCTTAAGTTTTTGACTCACTTCATTTGAGAGGCTCACACGTCCGTTTCAAGAATATTCCAAATCAAAGTTTCACATCAAATATTAGTTTGTCATGTACTAGAAAGTAGGAGAAGGAGAAGTCCGACTCTAATCATTTCATATATTCAACTATCAAAGAGAGCTTTTTGGTCCACTAAAATTTCTCTGGTTCACAACATCCTGAAATCGTGAGATCAAAGTTCACTTAATGTTAGCTGTCTTATACTTTATTTTAAGTTATTTAAAAAAAAAAATTATATAACCAATAGAAACACTTGACCTAACATGTAATTTGATGGTTTGTACTGGTACTGTCAACTGTCAATGTGTCTCGAATTTAAATCTATACAAACATAAATACTACTTGACATATAAAACACTTACACGAAACATTTAATACACTTTTATAAGAAACAAAGCTTTATCACAGAGATCTTATAGTTATAGTTTACATGTTTCAATGTTTTGCAGAACAAATTATATGAATAGTAACAATATATTCACATGGAATTGTCTGGTTTTTTGTTTCCTTTCATTCGAACCATAGGGAGACTTGTACCAGCAAATTTTGTCTCCCAATTCTTCATGTTGTGAATTATTGAGGTTGATTAAGTATTGTTTATAAGTGGGTATTATCATTTTCGAATTCTACCCAACGATATCCACATTGTTCGCATTGAATGGAAGAGAATCATCAGTATAATCACTAAATCACACAAGCATGACCCGAAATCTGTCTTTTTCATTAAAGTCCAACCAAGTGACCAACTTTAATTTTTTTCCCAATTTTTTTTAATGCTTGCATCGTACTTACATGTTATATACCCATCTAAAGGAGGTGTTACCCATCCATGCATGTAATTTGACAAATCTTATAGAAGGGAATATATTATTGAATTGTGTTATTGATACAAGAGAATAAGACCCATATATATAGGGTTAACATTAACATAATGATAACACCAAATAATGTAAATCTTCCTAATCCTTATCACAATAGGATTTCTCTAGAATATTCTTCCATGTGGTTTGGCTTCACGGGCTTCACTTCATAAACGGGCTTCAATGGCCCACAATACTTGGTTCGCCTTGCTCACCAAGATATCTCCAATACTCCCCCGCACGACAAAGGTGGACGCGAAACGCAAAATCTGCAGTCACAATGCGGAACACCTATGTCGTGGACAATCATGTCGAGGATGGCAATACAAGTCAATAGGGATGGAACATGCTCGTCTTTGGTCTTGAAAGAAAGGGAATAATAACATCCCGTGGAAGCAAAATCCTGCAATTCCACAAATAACGTCCTTGTCTCGGACAGCCCATAAATTGGACTAAAGAAATATGACCTAAAAACATGAGCGCTCCAATAAAAATCCCTAAACCCATAACCAAACTCCCCCGTAATAGGAGAAACAAAAACCTTTGAGAAATTCTAAACTTAAGAATCAATCTCAAAAAAATATAACTAATACCCATGAAAACACAAACCCTTAATCAAAGATTATCCTAATAACTCTCAACTCTTGTATCAAACAAATAAATTAAAAGAAAACCAAATCGTAAGCAATAAAACCAGAACCCATAATCAAAAACATAAACTAAGAATAAAATATCAAATTCCTAGACTTTTCAATTAAAAAAATCATGCTAATGGAAAACACGAACACCAAAACCTAACTTAAGAGAAAGAATAAACTAATCATGAGACCTAGCGATTGTCATCTTCATCATCACTGTCTCCCTCCTCGTCTTCACCTATGATGGTTACCGTATCCATCGTAACTACCTAAACTAATGCGGAAGCTTTAACTTAGATCTTCAAAGATCGTCTGCTCTGATACCATGACAAATATTATAGAAAGTAAATATATTATTGATCATGATCTCTAGCTAATCTGCCACCGCTGCTATTTCTGTTCAAGTTGCCGCTGCTACTTCGGTTCAAGCTACCGCTGCTACTTCTGTTCAAGTTGCTGCTTCCGCTTCCGTGAGATCATGTCATCGTCCCTACTCAAGGCTCCGTTCATGATCTCTTGCTACTTACTACCGCTGCCACTTCTGTTCAAGTTGTTGTTGCTGCTGCTTCCGTGATGACATCACGTTAGTTTCAACTACTACTACTACTTCTACATCATATATGGCGGATGATTCTACAAATACCTCTATCTCCTTCGATTACTCTTACTACACTACTTACTACATCTACAGCTGAGCCTACTACTACTATTATATGTAAGATTTGGCACCAGATACTACTTCTATTACTGAAATTGAGCAACCTCCATCTCCTTCTGATGAAAACAGAGTTACAGAAGAGGTTGAAGCTCCTTCTCCGGGCATTCCCAAGTTACTACTACTACTCTGGTTACTGACCAATCTCTCTTACGGTTCAATTTTCTCCTGTTTGTTGGCGTCGCAACAGAGAAAAGAAGCCATATATACTTATGAAGAACTCATCTCTCATAGAAAGTTCGATGTTTCTTCTTCTAGAGAGGTCTCAGCATCTACACAACTACAAATGAACAACCTTTGCGATCTACTCTCCAAGTTGGAAGTTCAAGATTTCTCACCTCCAACTTGAGGGAGGGTATGGAGATAAGGACATATTTAGATTTAGTTATATCTACAATATATATTCTAGTATATCTCTATGTGGATTAGGATTTACATATTCATATAAATATTCTACTATGTAAACCCATTCAACACAACTTAATACAATACACTTTCATAAGTTATATCATAATTAATGTGACATTTGTTATATCTCCTACTTTGATAAAATGAGATACTCATAATAACCCATGAGGCCATGATCATATTGAATCCATATCACTGTAATATTTACGTTTCATATTCATTTTTAACTTTCCCCATTTAGGAATCAAGACTTCGTGGTCAATCCCAAAAAGGAAATTCCTTTACATCCATAATTCCATATTCCAAGATTCAAACATATTAATGTAGTTTAGACATTCAGAATTCGATTGTTCATTTATTTGTTAAAGAGAAAAAAGACCTTTTCTGTAAAAACTTTGAAATCATAAAGCGATATTTTCATGTAGTGCTAGACAATTATGGAGTTCGACTGTTCAGAGATTATAAAAACCTCACATGCTTTTAGTAAGTGGTTAGCTTTTTCCAATATCTGTGGGCAGTTTCAACAGTTCTGTGATAGTTTTCTTTCTTCTTATTTACTTTTTGAGTGTTGAATTTTAAGATTGAATGTGGAAGTTCCCTTAATGACCAAATGATTAATTAATATTCTTTCCGTTTCATAATAAGTGTCATTTTGATTCTTCACTTACCTAATGTATCTAGTTATTTATGGATGTATTAAGATCCAAAACACACCCAAATACATCATTAAATAATCTAGATTCATTTTGTCAAAACGACACTTATTATGAAACGGAGGGAGTACATACTTCTACACTAAGAGCTCGAGATTCAGAGTTCGCTCTCCAGAAAATGTGAAATCTAAAAATTACAGGCAAGTTAATAGAAAATTTTCAGTGCAAGTGAAGCCGTTCAATATGGTCATAGAAATTATTTTGGAACCAAGAAATTTGTCTCATGTATAATTGTCATTGCAGTTGTTCTCATGATTTATATTAAAATATAATATTACAAACGAAAGAAGAAGAAAAAAATGAAGATTAGACTGTTTAAAAGTTAAAACCAATATACTAGATAGATTTCAGGTGTTTTATTTTGTAATTCGTTTCTTTGGACAAAACCAATCAACAATGATGTTTCAACATACACGTGTTAGTATACTAAAAACAAAACAATATTTACGATATGTACTATAACTAACCAATTAAAATCAAATAAGGTTCTATGGTGTAGTGGTTAGCACTCAGGACTTTGAATCCTGCGACCTGGGTTCGACTCCCGGTAGGACCTTTATTCTCCTTTTTTAATTTTCCGACCTAATATTCTTTAGTATCTTTTAAGTCCGGCCCATGTTGCAGTTAATATATAATGGGCTATTTGTAAACAATCAAGATGTTATTGATGATGATCTTCTAGAAATGGCCATTGCTTAACCGAGAAAAGGACATTGTTCTTGATGAAGCTTGGTAATTGGTATTATTAAAAATCAAAACAGAACTAGTTCCATAGATCCTTTTTGGTGGTTAGTACTTAGTATGTTATTCCGTGGTTAAACATTAAACTCTATCGAACCTCATTACATTTTTGTGATCGATCTTAAAGCCTGCCATATTTGAGTCCTTAGTTGTAGAATAAACTACTTATCTGCCATTTTACTATAACTTCAATGTGACTCAGCAAGTTAGCAACAACCATTATACCATTGTTCTAGTCTCTCCTTTATTAACATAACATCATTCAACACTTTTATCTCTTAAAATATATCATTATTACCCATCAATTAACATTAATCCATCATATGATGACATAAACCATAAAGAATCCTATAACAACTTATCCAAGAACAAAATGGTTGAAGACTTGCCAAGAGAACATCGATTGATTATAAGAAAAAAACAAAGGCAAGTATCAATCACCATCACGGTTACATTCTCTTGATTCACTGCATAGACTGGAAGCGTTTGATGAGGAGCATACTCATATCAACGTAGCGTCCAGCGCAGTTAGAGAGGCAAGAAGACTCGCTCGAGCTGAATTTGCTTCCCGGTTTGTCTGTGATGCATTTGTCCCAGCACACACTCGTCAGCTTCGCCAACATTTCGTTTGCCATTGCCTTTTGTTTCTCTTCCTGCCACACACAAACAACACACACAAGAACAACGATTCCTGTAAACAACTTATTGCCACTCTCTGCGTCTAACTTCAATCTTAGATTTTTCATCAAAACCCAACTAAACCTCATATGAGAAAGATCAACTAACTGAAACCATTAAAATTTTACAATTTTCTTTTTGTTCTCCCGAAGCTATTTTCTTATTTGGGTTGATTCAAAGGAATGGTTTTTGAACGATTCATCATGACAATTTCATATTCCTTAAGCAGAACATACAAGAACAGGAGTGAATCTACTAAAGACGAACTATTTAGCTCTCACCATAGGGAAATTAGAGACTTACGTTGAGGAATTGAAGCAATTCAGGGGTAGCCATTGAAGGATCCATGGCGGTTGAGCAAGGAGTGGAGAAGAAGAAGAAAGAATCTAAATTTCGCAGCGACTGAAAAAAACCCTAAAGACTTTCGAAGGATACAAATCAATTTCAAGGGCAGAGATGAAGAAGACGCCGCTTGATTACTTGTTGGGTTAAAGGCCCATTAAAGGCCCATATTATTGGATGCTTGATTTAAGTGGCAAAATTATAACAACCGGGTCGATGAAAGTTTTTTTGTTTAAATTTGACACGTAAAAATTTAAGAACTTATCGAATTGTAACATGTGTCAAATAGAGTTATTATTTTATCGACTTTAAAATTTTATTATCTTATAAAGTTATTATTTTATCGATAAAACAATAATTATTATTTTATACAAATATTCTATCAAAAACAAGAAATTTTATAGAAATATATTTTTTCAGATTTTTTATTCAAATTTTCCTTATATTTTACTATTTACATATTTCATGTTCAGAAGTTCAAAGTCTAAAAGAAATTATGTCTATTGTTCTTGATGGTGAAGATGAAGTTGAAAATGATGAGGAAGGACATGTGCAAGTAGTTACACGTAAGGATGCAATTGTGGCTTCAAGAACTCTTCACAACTTTTTTGGCTTCATGTTGAGTACACCACCAGAAATTGTAGATGCAATAAGAAAAATTTGAGATGAGCTCGAACGGGAATCCAACTTTCAGAAAAGACAAACTACATTGGAGTCATATTTTACTAAATTGTCTTAGATATATATGCATTAGTTTTATAATTATTATCTTAACTTATTGTTGGGACTATATTTTTACATAGGAGTTTCAAAAATATTATTGTCTTATCATCTTATCGCATTATGCTATTTTTTACACTGGCCCGAGTTGGGACCGGAGAAAAGTATTATCTTATAGTGTTTATTGTTTTATCGAGTATTGTTTTATAGATATCCGACTTATTATTATTTTTGGATTTATATCAAAATATAAATGTTGGAGAGTTGTAGCAACAACCTAGAGCCACTGATGTTCAGAAAATTTGGAGATTGATAAAATTTGCGGATCTTCACCATCAGAAAACCTATTAGATTCTAGATTTTTAAGCACGTTTGGATTGGAAAATGGCAAAGTAGAGGAGAGCAACTCCTCCCAAACTGAAAAAATGCTGAAGAGACGAAATGAGCGATGCAAACATATTAGAGTCTCCCATTAATGTTCTTTTTGGAAGGTTGTCTGAAATCTTTGATTAAGAAAATAAAATATATTATTGAAATGAAAGGAAATTACATTAATGAAATGAAGTTAAAATAAACAACATAAAAAGAAATTTGAATGTTTTCTTCTTCTTTATGCATCAAATAAATGATTAAAATGTATGAACATTTAGACACAGACACATCATGCGATAAAACTTTCAAAATATCATGTATATCCCTTAGATTCTCAAATTCATTATAACTAAAATATTTTGATAAATTTTCTAAATATAGTAGAACCTCTATAAAGTAATACTCGATAAAATAATAAACAAGATAATAAATTTATCCAGTCCCAACTCGGGCTAATGTAAAGAATAGCAAGATGCAATAAGATGATAAGATAATCATATTTTTAAAACTCCTATGTAATAATATAGTCCCAATCATAAGCTAAAATAATAATTATAAAACTTAGACATATATATCTAAGGTAATTTAGTAAAATATAACTCCAATGTAGTCTGTCTTTTCTGAAAGTTGGATTTTCCGTTGGAACTCATCTCGAATTTTTCTAATTACATTAAAGAAAAATAGAAAATTACATAATATAAAATATGTAAATAACAAAATATACGGAAATTTTGAATAAAAAACTGAAAAAATATATATTTCTATAAATTTTTTGTTTTTGATAGAATATTTCTATAAAATAATAATTATTACTTTATCGATAAAATAATAACTCTATAAGATATTAAATTTCAAAGTCCCAACATTATTATTTTATAGAGGTTTTACTGTGTACAAACTCTTTACAAATCTGACAAATCTTTCAACAAACTTAACAAATCTCTTAATTTTAAAAATCAACAAACTCTATACAAATTATAATCATCTCCCATTAACACCCTTAAGTAAATATATCAAAGTATATATGTTTCTTGGAAGAAATCCGGCACACCTTTTTTCTGGATTGGTTAACCAATATAATCTTGCTTGATGTTTTGATATTATCTTATATATAATTGAGAGGATAATTTCTCTCCAGTGGCCGCCACGTCACGTCAGCTTTTCAATATTGTCCTGAAAACGCCACGTGGTATTTCTTTACTTAAAAAATAATTAAAATTCATACTTCAATGCAATTAAAATTTCTATTTACTTAATCGACGCTTCGTCTCCCTCCGCTTTCGCTAGAGATACCACATCCTCACCATTGTTTGTGAATTCGAGAAACGAACCAACTGCCCTGATAAATTGTAGAAGATTGTAAGGAATAGAACTAAGATCCAAGAGAAAAGCAAGAATCAATTCAGAAAATGAAATTACTTGAGAGAGGATTTGGGTCGTACCTTTTGTTTCCTCACTTTTGGGTGGATGAGTGAGAGGAGAGCTTCGGCGATGTGAGAGGCCGTGAATGTTTCCGTTGGTTCCGATTAGCTCCGCCGCGTTGAACAGCTGCTCGAAAAATTCGCCGATGCTGAAACCTCCCACTCCCACCGACGTTACATCTCCCGAGGGCGGTGACGCAAACGTGGCGGTTCGCAACGGCGAGAGGAGAAGGTGGGAGGCGGAGGTCTCGGTGGAGAGCAGATCGCGGGGGAGAGGGATCCAGCGGACGGAAGTGACGAAGGGGAGAGGGCACCGGGAGGAGGAGGGAGAGGGATAGTGGAAACGAGCTGGGGAGAGAGCTAGAGTCGACGACGGAGACGGAGGAACCAGAGGCGAAGGCGGATCCAAAGTTGTTGCGGGGGAGTATAGAATCCCATGTATCAGTAGGAGACGGTTTCGACCTGGTTTAGTTAGGTTAATGGTATAATTTACAATTAGGATTTCGGTTTAACTGAAACTATTCATCTATAATAAGATAAGCTAACCGGTTAATTGAGTATGGTTCTATTGTACATGTGATTCTTTACTTCAATATTTTTATTAATTTATTAAATTCAGTGTTTATTATTGAAGAAATGTCGACAAATTTCAAAAATTAATAAAATAAGAGAAATTTGTGATTTTATTTGTTTAATAAAAGAAAAATACTACACAAAAAGTAAATTATTTTCTCTTTACAAAAATATCTATTTTCATATTGTTAAAAGTAATTTGAAATTGTTCATATGTTATATTTAAAATAGTTATATAAAGCTATAATAATATATTTAAGCTTATATATAGTAATTAGATATACAACAGTAACTTTGATGATTTTCTTAATGCGTAAAATATTTTATAACGATAATTAAAAAGAAATAGAGAGTATAATTTTTAAGGTATAATCTACACATTTTATGTTCACCATTTATGTGGAAAAATACAATTTTTCAATATTTTTTATTTTAGATAAGATAATGAACAATATAGAAAAAGATTGATAAAAAATGTTTGGAAATTAATGTAAAAATTTATATACAAATGATAAAACTTTGTAATATTCATAACCCGCGTATCGCGCGAATATAGCCCTAGGGTTTAATATACTAAGGCTTAAATTGGTTTCTGTAGATGATGAACGAACCATGTCAATGAATCATACAAACCAAAGACCTGAAAATGAAATGGTAAGGGTGGTTTCATGATTTTAGCAATAATAAAAAAAAATTGAAAAACATAAAAAGTTATATTTATAATATCAACAATAATTCACAATAGGCATAATTCGGATAATTGGGATATCCGTTCAATTCAAGTATTAACTAATATCTATGGGTTAAATATTTACCTAATGAATGACTTATTATATACTAAAAATGAATCGGGTGCCAGTATTTTTGGCAGATACGGTTGGATTTTTTGGTAGAGTTTAAAAGTCTCAAGTCTACCGCAAACATTTTAAGGAATTCGATCTCAGAGGAAATAAGGAGCAATATATACTTATATTAAGAAATAAAATATTTATAAAATTCAAATGACATTTAAATATAAGTAACAAAACTTTGTAATAGACATAACCCGCGCATCGCGCGGGCTTAGCCCTAGTATAAGATAACACACTAACTAAAAGAAAGAAGACTTATTCCATCTTAATGATTCTTATTTCCTCACTAACACTTTAATCATTCTAACTGTAACATCTCGATTTGTATAGATGTTTAAAAGAATTGATATGGTTATCTATATAAATAAAATGCACTTATTTTTTCAGTCAAAGGTCCATAAGTAATTCCAAAATTAAGCGTGTTTGGGCTTGAGTAGTGGAAGGATAGATGATCTTCCGGGAAGTGATTTCCAAAACCGTGTGAATGAGATCAAAACAAGGGAAAAGGTCGGATGGTGTTTGCAAGGATAATAAACAAATATCTAGAACTTTTAAGAAAATAACGAACCGGCCATCGAACAAGGTGGAATCCATGAGATAAGAGAAGGTATGGGTAACTCACCGGATGGGAGGTCGGGGTTATATACTAACCTCTCCATTACTAGTTGTGGAATTTCTTTGTTACAATTAAATCAATCTTCAACTACCGACTCTCGTTTTCGCTGATATCTCACATCAAGTTATGAGTTCATGTCTCCGAGGACGTTAATTAAATCCGAAGACGATACTTGAACCATGTCAATATCATCCATCAATTAACAACATCACGTTATAAAGAAATGAAGCTTTTCATCCATGTACTGTATGTAGTTGATTAAGGAATGTCTCAAAATCATTAAAATTAAAAAGTGAAAGAAAATTGAAAGCAAACAAATAAAGAAATGGAAAGCCAACATCTTCGAGGTGAAGAAAAGTACCAAATCCAAATTGCTGCGTGGGGGAATACAGCGTCTGATACTGATTTGAAAAACTGAAATCTTTTATATTTCCTTTCTTAATAAGTATACAACAACAAGAAACATTTTTAAAAAAAAAAAAAAAAAAAATACATTTCATTTTTATTAAAAAACTAGTAGAGTACCCGCACGTTTGTGCGGTGTGACGTTGTTGTTTTGTGTAGAAAATTTAAACCCTAAATCCGAACCCGACAAAAAACCCTAATCAAAAAATAAACCGAAAAAAAAAATCCCGAAAACCCTGACTGAACAAAAAAAATCTGGAAACTTTTTCACCCGGAACCCGACCCCAATACCTAATCAAAATTTTAAAATACTCAATTTTTTTAATATATCTAAACCCGAAAACCAGAAATCTAAAAAATCCGGAAAACCCTAAACTGAAAAAAAAAATTGAACCTAACCCGAACAGAAATTTTCAAAGAAACCCGAACAATTTCTATATCTCTATATATATCTCTATAAAATTATGTCTCAGATTTTCACCCAAACCCGAACTTGTCTATAAAAACCCGAAAATCCAAAAAGCATATTCTATTGATTTGGAATTATCGTTAGATTATGTTAAGTTTTCTTTTTTGCAGATTTTTAAGAGATGGAAAACGGAAGTTTTCTAAACCATCGGTTTATTTTAAGTTATTATTCTTGTATCCAAACAATTTTTTCCATTTATTCTTCTATCCAAATAGATTTTTCTCTTATTCTTATATCCAAACAACTTTTGTTTCCATTTATTCTTCTATCCAAATAGATGTTTCTCTAATTCTTGTATCCAAACATTAGAATGTACTTCTCAATTAATAATATAAAGATTAATGCCAGCGAAAATATACTATTTAACTTACTTTTTCTTGTGCAACCTAACATTCGAAAGTTTTTTTTTTAATAGCTTATGTTCCTAAAATGGTTTGGAAACCCAAGTCGGGAGAGCTGAGTGTACATAATACAGATCGTAAAAGATATCTCGAATATTCCATTATAACTTATCTATCTTTGTGTTCTTTGTCATTGAAATCTGGAAAATAGAGAATAAATGAACAAACTCATGCATTTGTGGGTTTCCTCCAATAAAATTAAAATTTCTGGTCATCCCCAGAAAACACTATCTCCACCATATTGGAACAATCTGTCTCGATAGCTACCACTCATTTGTTGTGTTGTAGGCTTGTAGCATGCAATGCATAATCCATACCAAAATCTATATTTGTAGTCGAGAGAGACCCCAGCGTATATAATAAATAGTTTTCACATACGTATTTTCGGATCTAAACCATGTAACTGTGTTGTGACAATGTAACAGCACGAATACAAATCATTAAATTACAGATTACGCTCAAAATTTCAAGAATCAATTTTCTCGGACATAAAATCATTAGATTTTTAAAGTAACAAAATCATAAATATTTAGCTTTTTCAATTTTGTTGGAGACTAGATCTTGAGCGAGATTTTACAAGTTTTTTTTTTTTTGAAACATAGCCTTGCATTCGAATTCAGATTCAACAGAAATTGTCTCATCCAACCGATTAAAATAGCCATATTTCCTGCAACAATAACCATATTTCCTTAACGTTGAAACATTTGTCTTTATTCATTTTCTTCTCTGAAAAGAAAAATTAGTGTAACTTTACTTCGAGTGTATAAAAGACTACATTATCGAAAAAGGAGTAAACCTAAATGCTATTTGTAAAATTCAAAATCTGATGCTGGAAAGTTGAAGGCAAAAAATTAGAACAACTTTGGTTTAGCGGACTTTGTGATCTTTATTGCTCGAATGAAAAAAAAAAGGAAGGATAAAAAGCAAAACACCACTAGAAAGACAAACATATATTACAATAAAATTATCTAAATAATTGGAAATAAAGAAGTGAGAGTCGAAAATTGAGTCAGTCCAACATCTCATAACTTACTCGTTAAGTCAGCCTCTCAAATCTTTAAGTTGGGATCGACTTGGACTCTCTTTCAGTTTCACTTTTGTTTTCTGAATACACTTTCTTTATTTTTTCTTATTTTTTAATCATTACTTATGCATATTTATGTAAGCTTTCTTGTTTCATCAGTGTATGTTATCCCGACATTATTATTTCACATGGGAATTATTTATAGACAAAGTACTGTCTGAGTACTACGATGATATTTGTACGCTCTTACATTTATGAAATGTCTACTACTCGTCTACTCCTAGTCATTTATGTTTTATTTTTACACGAATTTATACAAGAGAATGATTTCTGATCAGTAAACTTTTATTGTGCACTAGGAGAGCGCAGGTTTATTAAACCAAATATTTTTAATTTAATTATTCAGAACATTAGATTCGAATATATCATTTGTTTTTTACTCGAATATATTAGATTCTGTAAGTTTTGCATTTTGTTTTTTTTCATATAGTTTTAAAATTTAGTTGTTATTTACGTGAAATCTTATATAGACTCATAGTGAATAGTTTCATATGTTTTTTGTTCTTTTATACAATAATTTATCGACTGGAGTTGAGTTCTTCTAATTTTCCTTATACTAACAATCATTATAGATTGATTATTATCCTACAGACTCATAGATAATAATAATTGCAATCCTTTTTAAAAGGAAATGAAATGAGCTAATTAGCCAGTAAGCCCATTTAAAGCTACCATGGAAACGAAGAGGTCCGATAAATAATCAAGCCCATCAAAACGAACAACATTACACATAATTTTGATTTAGATTTTTTTTTTTTTAATACGAAAACGACGTCGTTTTGGTGTAAGACGAAAAAAAAAATAAAGCGCAAAACGACGTCGTTTTGGTGTTAGGCGAAAAAAAAAAAAAAAAAAGAGTGCCACGTGTCAAAGGCTGGAGATTGTCCAATCCTTATTAGTTATGTAGATTCATTTTATACATGCAAGATCATGCCGGCATTAGTATTTCACATGCGCGCGATAGTATAAAAAACTACTCCCATGATTTCTTAGACTTATTAATAACTGATCCTAAGCATTTATGTTTCATTTCATTTTAGACTTAGTATACATTTGAACCCCAAAAAAAATGTATAGTATACATATAATAACCCTCTTGAAATGTTTCCTTTCAGTTGTTGGCCAATATTAAGTAATGTGCTCGTACCAATTTATTGTGATGGTACTATGGTAGGTACGTACCAAGTAACAATGTGTGTTGGAGCTATCCCACCTTATAACTTTCTTTATTTTCGGAGAAAAACTTAATTACCTTTACCAAAAGTAAAATAAAGACTAAATTACTTTCATAGAGAAAGAAAAGTTATAATAATATCTTAACAACGTTGACTGCATGCGTACATGCAGAACAACTGAATGGCGGTCCTCGCATTTGATTAAACAAAAATAAAACCAATCGAATTCAATCTTTGAATTTGCAGTTAAGTAACAATAATTTATCTATTTATCTCTTGAAATAATAATAGTACTTGAAAAGTATATTTAAAGGAAAAGTAGAATCCGCTTTTGCCGAACTAAAGGTGACACTCTCATATAAGTATAAATATGTATAAACAACCTAAACCCAAACATACACAAAGGTATATTGACAAGTACTAATGGATATATCAACGCAGAGATTTGCCATGAACGGAAGAAGCATGAGACTCCCTCCAGGGTTTCGTTTTGATCCCGATGATGAAGATCTTGTGTTCGAGTATCTTGCCAAGAAGGTCCTCAACCATCCAATGGACTTCGACCTCCCCGAGATCCGTTCTTGCAATGTTGATCCTTGGGACTTGCTAGGTTTACTCCAAACTATTCCCTCTAACTTCTCCAAAATAGGTTTACTCCGTATTGATCAATGCGGTCTCATATATGTTGTATGTACACATTGTTATAGGAGAGAAGAATAAGGAAGTGTATTACTTTGTGAAGAAGGAAGAACGAGAGAAAAAGGGAAGAGAGACGTCATCGGGTTATTGGGAAGAGTTTGAAGAAGAAGAAGTAATGGAGGCTGGTGGTGATCGTATTTGTAATCATTTAGAAGGAAGGAGAAAGACATTTGCTTTCTATATTGGAAAAAGACCTCGAGGAACGATAACTCCATGGATCATGTACGAGTTTCGGCTTCTTTCTTCTAGAGCTTCAAGGTGGTTATCGTCTCCTCTGTCTCGGGTGAGCCACTCTTTCCTTAGTTCTGACATTTTGGACATTGAACTTTTTCTATAACATATTTCTTTTCTTTTTGGTTATAGTTTCAAGCTTATTGTATAAATGTTTTGATTAGTTTTGGTAAATGTTTTGGGGTTTAAGGGTGAGGTAGGGAAATGGAGGGCAGTGAAGGTAGTGGTGAAGGAAGAGAATGAGGAAGAGATGGAGGAGGATGAGCACGAGTCAGACGAGTCTGATGGTGAAGAAGTTGTTCAAAGCCGGTAATGATCAAGTGATGTCTCATTTGAGTTTAATTAGTAACTTTGTTTTAGGTAGAATATTACGAACATCTAAATGAAAACGAGGATGTTTGATTTGTCTTCCAAGTACTTTGGATTGTACTGGAGGATATGTAATGAAGATGTCACAAGTTGCTTTCATTCTTCCCTCTTATCGATTATTCCCTCTTTGAGATTTCTATATTTGAATCTTTACATGGTAAATACATGGGGATTATTGACAGTATATTATTTTATTTAGTGTTATATATATTTATATACGTAAGAGCTTCACATGTAAATACAGAAGAAGAGTCCTCTAAAACAAAAGATCAAGTTTGACTAGCAATGCGTTAACCAATATAGTAATTTAGACGTCAAAGTTATCTGGAAATTCAGAAGGGACTAACTGTTAGTCAAAGATGACAACAAGAATAAAGATGTCACTTAGATAATAAGAAACAACTCATGCATTTGCCTAAATAAATCATTATTTACCAAATTTAGCAAATAAATTGCAATTAACCAATCAACCCATTACAAAATCTCAACCCTTTAATAGTCTCACATTTTCTCCCTTCTTCTTCTCGGATTCCTAAGCATTCTCTTCCATTCTTTCATCCTCCCAATTAATTAGCTCTCTTCTCTCCTCTACTTTTTCAAGAATCTTCTCCGGCCACCCACCCGCCACCGTATGATCTCTTTGGTGGCGGCGATTACACCATCTATTTTTTAGTTTCTTGATATGGGTTGCGGTGGCTCGAGGTTGGGAGGTGTGGGAGCGGCGAGAGCAAATGAGGGCGGCGTTGTGCCACTTCCGTCAGGTATACGTCCGCTACTCCGGCGGAGGTTAGAGGAGATAAAGAAACGGAGTCATGCAAGCGTCTTGAAAGGGAACCAGACGCAGTCTAAGAAGGAGCTATTAAAGCACGGCTCTGAGGACGGAGAAGAGACGGAGGAGAACGACGTCGATAGCTTGAAGTCGTCAGCTAAGGTGGCTCCGGCGCCTGTTCAGCACGTGGAGGAGAAGAAAGAGGTTATTTACGAGAAGGTTCCGTCTAGAGATGATGTTGAAGAGGTGAAGAAAGAGGAAGAGGTTGTGAAGAAAGAGGAAGAAGTTGTGAAGAAACAAGAGGAGGAGAATCATCATGATGTTGATGATGATAAGGTCATCGATGTTAAGAAGGAAGGAGATGATGTTATTAATCATGATGAGGCCATGAACAAGAAGGAAGAAGACGTTGGTGCTGATCATGATGAAGGGAAGATGAACAACTTTGATGAGAGGATGATATGTCCTGGATCTCCAAGCTTTAGGGTTTATTGCATCGATGTTCCTTCTTCTGATGATGATGATGAAGGTACACTCTACGCTTTTAATAATGTACTATTTTACATATACATAAAAATATACATACAAATCAAAAATTTGAAAGAAGAATATATATATAATTTACTCTCTATATGTGTAGATTAATTATATATGCATGCATGCATGTTAATATATGATTGCTAGATAAAAACATGTTCATTGAAATGTTAAAGTTGTCTCAAACTCTAGCTATATGGATGTTATTTAATTTTATTTTCAATTTAATTTGGTCGATGCATGCGTCGTAATAAGTTTCGCAATTGCATGTATTGAAACAGTTTATCAATTTGACTTTGCAGAAAAAGATGTAGAAGACACCAGAAAGTCGACGGAAACCGAAAGCGTTATCATAGAAGACCCAAAAGAGGTGAGACAAATATCTCTTTAGAACAATTTAAGTAACTTACCAAAAGATAAAAAAAAAATTAATCACATTCATCATATATTATTCATTTGATCTATATTACTATATACATTATGAGGCTCTCTTATATATGATATGTTTGTTTGTATTTTAATAATTAGGAGGAGAGCATCGCAAAAAAAGAGAAAAGAGAAAGAAAAGGGAAGAGATTCGGAATAGCGTTGCCAAGGAAGTATTTAGCCAATGTGACTGCGCCGTGCTACGCCGGTGGAGGATGCATGGGCAACAACGGTCATTCTCGTCTCGTGCAAGAGAAACCGAGCCAGTGATCGATGATCAAAATTATATGTTTGTCGTGATGTTCATTGATTTGTTGAAGTAAGAACGATGGGGTGTACTTACTTACGGGCCGGGGCGATTAAAATCAAAAGACACACCACTAAATAAGCTTTTGATTAGACCGTTGATATGTTTCAAGAGACACTTGTTTCAGAATATGTACAACCAACCTCTTCTTTTCATCTTTTGCGTTCTCTCAGGATAAGTTAGTGTTTGATGGATTTCACATTTTTTCACGTGGAGAGATGTAAGTAATTGAACTTGTGCAATAAAAAAAGGTGTTGTCTATTTGCAACTGTGTTTTGTGTTCTGCCTTTTTTGGGTTCAAATGTGAAAATTATTGTTCAACAAACTTAACGACAATGTATCATGCAGTGTTAACCCATTTTAAATAAACTAGGTAAATACCCGCACTTCGCTGTTGAATCCGAGATAGCACTCGTTAAGACGGGCTATCTTAGATATGAGTTTAGGAAACTGGAGCGCTTAATTCGACTCTTAGATTATCAAGAAGATTACAAGAGAGCAATCTCGCTAACAAGCCTAGCGAGATTATGATGGTGAACAAGAGGATAGAGTAAAAGCTAATGTGAAAGCTAATGCGGGTGAGCGGGCTTCTTCGGGTGTCGGCGAGTGCTTTCGTCAATTCCGGAGCTGAGCTGGTGGCGCGATGAACTTTCGAATCGACCTCGTCGAGGCGGATTCACCCGTTCAAGCTCTTGAGTGGTAAGTCGCCTGAAGTGCGCAGGACGGGGGGTTGTTCCGTCGGTGGGACTTGACGGATTTTCATCGTCTTCTCGTGCTAGGGCTTCCACCTGTTCCTGAGTCTTTTTCTGCTGTGCTCGCATTGACTCGAAACCGTCGGCGAGTGGCTTGACGAGATTCTCCATGAGTTTGAGGATCTTCTCGCTCGAGGAGGATTTCTTCGAGCTGCGGGGTTTGTCGCTCGAGGAAGATTTTCTCGAGCGGCGTGGTGCGGACGGAGGAGGGCTCTCGTCCTTTCTTGGCGGAGGAGATCGTTGCGGCGAAGTCGATCTTCGCGGCGAGACGGATCTCTGTGGCGAGAAAGATGGGTTTCTTGTAGGGACAGGCTTGTCCCTACCTTCAGCGGGTAGCGACTTGTCTATCGTGCCTGGTAGACTGTCGCTTAAGTTTTCTTCTGAGGGAGACGGGCTCCCGGTGGGAGTGTTCTCTTTCGAGTTCGCCATCGTTGCTAGTTCGTGAAAATCTAGATATCTTCGAGATGAATAGCGAGAAGCGTTTCCAGCCCCACGGTGGGCGCCAATTGTTGAATCCGAGATAGCACTCGTCAAGACGGGCTATCTAGATGTGAGTTTAGGAAACTGGAACGCTTAATTCGACTCTTAGATTATCAAGAAGATTACAAGAGAGCAATCTCGCTAACAAGCCTAGCGAGATTATGATGATGAACAAGAGGATAGAGTAAAAGCTAATGTGAAAGCCTAGTGATTCTAGATGATTTCGGATCCCTTTCCCCAATGGGGGGTCTTCAATATATAGGTTGATAAGTCGGCCGAATGATGAATATTCTCCTTCAGGCGAGATGGAAAACTTCCTCTTTTGCGATATGGAAAATCCCTCTTGTTTTTGGATCTTTCTCCATTCTTTAAGTCGGCATGAAGATTTATTTACATTTCTCCATGGATTGTGCCTTTCTCTTCAAGTCTTGCCTTTTTCTTGAAGATGTTAGGCCTAAAATCGGATTGGGCTTTGTGACTTTACTAATGATGACGGGCTCAGGGAAATGTGCTAATTTCTCCTCTAACATTCGCTGCAGGAGATTTACATCGCATGTTTTCTTGTGTTTGTATTAATTTAATTTAAGATATTATACTTTGGTTTTGTAATGGAATGTGATTACTTTTTTTTTACTTCTTATCATTGCATCAACCAATATCAAACTAAAATGGTTTACTAATCGTTGGGCCTGGGCCGAAAGAATTGTTGTTCACGGTGTCGTTTGATTGTTTAATTGTGTTCGGTGGGGAAAACAAAATTTCTTCATTTTCTCTTCATTTTCCCTCTAACGGCTGAAAGGGGATGAAACAGGGAAAAGAAAATTTCGTAATTTTCTTCATCTATTCTTCATTTTCCCTGTAACGGACAAAGTCCCCAATTCACTTTTGATTTCAGCGGAATTATCCAAAATCCACATCACTTGACAAACTAATTTTTCTTGATACGGTCCAAAAAATCAGTGTATTTTCTGGGTTTAATGATGAATCGAAGGTTAGTATTTGTCAATCAGAGATTTGTGTATTGTTATTCGATTGTTTATGTAATTTGGATGAATTTGTACCAGATTGCGAAGAGGAACTTGATTGTTAGATGTGTTGGCTTGAAGAGGAACTTGATGCGTTGATGCAAACAACATCGGATATTGAAGAGACATCTAATGATGGTGTAAACAGTTGATACGTTGTAGTTCTGAACTCGTGTATTGGATAATGATATCCCTTTCACCAAATTCACCAACAATTAGGCCAGCAATTTCGTCAGATGTAGGTAAATCATATTGTCTACCTTTTTCTTTTGCTCCAAGAAGACATATGGTGAATTCTTTTGTTTTTCCTGATTCATATTTGTCGCAGTAGTATATATATACTAGGAGCTGACCCGCACTTCGCGCGACAATTTATATTATTGTGTTAATTTTATTGTTTTTCCGCAAATTTAATTTATTTATGTGGTTTATTATTGTTTCAAAAATAATTAGGGTTATGCAAAATTAACGTACCGTCTTGTCCCATCATATCCCATTTCGTTCATTTTCATCATGTTCGTTCTTTCCCGTCGCATCCGTCTTGTCTGTCCCGTCCCGTCCTATCCCATTATGTTCCTTTCCATTTTGTTATGTCCCATCATGTTCCTTCCGTTTCTTCTCGTCTCGTTCCCTAAATATAACTAATAGGCAAAATTCCCGTATAGTCCCATCCCGTCCCGTCCTATCCCATTATGTTCCTTTCCATTTTGTTATGTCCCATTATGTTCCTTCCGTTTCTTCTCGTCTCGTTCCCTAAATATAACTAATAGGCAAAATTCCCTTATAGTCCCATCCCATCCCATTTAATTCCTTCTCATCTTGTCCCGTTCTTTTCCCGTCCCGTTCCGTCCTGTCCGCCCTATCGAGTCCCATTCTATTATGTTATGTTTTTTTATTCCGTTTTGTGGTGTCTCTGTCCTATTTCTAAATATAATTAGGGGTAGGTGAAATTTATGTCCCTTCCCTTCTCGTCCCATTATGTCCCTTTCATCCCGTCCTGTCCAATCCCGTCTCATTCTGTTCTTTTCATCTCGTCATGTCTAATTTGTCTGTCTCGTCCCGTCCAGTCTTATCCCGTTTCATTATGTTTCTTTCCGTCTTGTCCTGTCTCATCATGTTCCTTTCGTTTTTTTCTATTCTGTCTCTAAATAAATTTGAAGTAGGCAAAATTATGTGGTATCCCATTCCTTTCCGTTCTTTTACATCCCATCTCGTCATTTAATATAATAAGTGGACAAAATTCATTTCTTCTCTCGTTATGTTTTTTTCCGTCTCATCCTGTCTAGTCTTGTCTCATTTCATCCCAAAATACTTTAAAAAATCAGTGTTTTTTATATAATATCTTGACATCAAGTAGATTATATAATCTAATAAAATTAAATTTACTAAATAATAGTCTTTGTAGATCTATACATAATCTTTCTCCTTTTTTTAAAATGACTTTTCATATTCTTGTTAAACTTATTATATTAATGAATGCTAATTATTATGTTAAACTATAATATCTTGACATCAACATAAATTATATAATCTAACAAAAATTAATTTACTAAATAATAGTTTTTGTAGATCTATACATAATTTTTGTCTTTTTTTTTAAATGACTTTTCATATTCTTGTTAAACTTAAATGAATGCTAATAATTATGAAATTAAAATATTAAAAAGAGAAAATTTAATAAATTAAATAAAGTGCTGAAGTGGTGAATTGGAGAATTTAGAAGCAGCTCTTCTGGTGACGTGGCAACACCAGAATAGAATTGCATGAACTTTATATATATAGATATATATAATTTTTTGTATTTTTAGTTTTGTATTAGTTTTGAAAATAATTTACACAAATTTTATATTTTTGATTAACTTCCATATGTTTTTGTCCTTTCTCTTTCTCTTTGCACAAATTACACAATTATCTCTCTTTCTCTTTCTCTTTCTCTCCTCTCTTCATCTTAGCTTGATTTTTGTGAGAACTCGATTTCTACAATGGGCGACTGATTAATGCAAAGTATTAATATGAACAAATTAATATAACATAATATTAAAATGATACAAATAAACTAGAATTAAGGAAAATAAAACCGGATTTGCAGAGTCGAGATATGATCTCTTTCCTTAATTCTGTAAACGCCCGTAGTGTGACGGTTGCATGGCGTTCCGAATCCCAAGATAAAACTGCACACTTCTTATGATTGCATCACCCAAATCATAAGCTTGCGAACCATATTTTCTATGTTGTACTCTCATAAAGAAAAACAAAACAAAACAAAAGAAGTGAAGAGATTGTTGTTGCTTGTGTTTGATCACATGTTTTTGTTTTTCCACAAGAGGAGGAGACATGGCTTAAATAGCCTCATGTCTTTTATGTTGGTCATATGATCATAAAGGGAGTTTTAATTCCTTCAACATAACATTAAGTTTTATGATACCAAATCAATAACTTAATTGTCATTTGACACACTTTAATTGGAGGAGATATTAGTTGACTTAGTCAACAATACTTTAAAAGAATTTTGACCAAAATGATTAATAATCATATTGATTATTCCCGAGATTGGAAACACAAATTCAGCCGACCTGCATATCTCTTTTCTCCAATACACCATAGTGTATACAAGTTTTTAAACTTTATATTAAATTCTCCACTTTATATACAAGAGGATTTAACCTCAAACTTCCAATGTGGGACATTTAATAAAATGTTACATTTTATGCTATACAAGCAACCCACTTGGACCTTCATTTCTCATTCAAACCAACTTCATTTTTGACATTTCAACAATTTTATCTGTTTCCTTCAGTTTCGATTTCCGTTCGGTGCCGATAGAAGAGTGACATTGTGGGGTTTTAGCTTGTGCAGTTGACATGGGTCAATCTTTTCGCAAGCTTTTCGATACTTTTTTTGGCAATCAGGAGATGAGGGTACTCTCCTTCTCTCATTCTTCTGTTTAATTTTTGTGGAATTTTTCGATCCTTTTCTAGCTTCTTCCCCTCTTGACGGAATCGCGTGCTAATCTATTCGGTTGCGGTCATAAACCGATTTCTAATTCGGAGTTTGAAGCAGATTATGAGTGATCATTCGTGGTTTTGTGCTAGCTTGGAAAAGAAAACAAATCATAAAACGGTGTTTAAATTGAAACGAATTAATATCGTTTTGCTGCTAATCACTGATTGATCCTGGGATATATGCTTATATGTTAAGAGAGTTATTTTGGGGTTTTCTTTGCCCTTAATTGATGTCAGGGATCTATGATATAGCTTATTTTGTTCTTCTTTCATCTGTTTACGAATCAAATGAGCTTAAAAGTGACTGTTGATGTAGCAATTCATAAAATTTGGTTACACGTTGTTGGTATGAGCCTATGAGATGTTGTGCTTTTAGCTAGAGAATATTCAAATGCGATTCTCTAGTTTGTATTTCTTGACAATTTGAGTGTCTGATTCAGGTGGTTATGCTCGGTCTGGATGCGGCTGGCAAAACAACGATACTGTACAAGCTCCACATTGGGGAAGTTCTGTCGACTGTTCCCACCATCGGTAGGTCAGATTGCTGCAGCATTAAGATTTGCACACTATCTGTGTTGTTATATTTTACTGGTTTGCTGAGGATTTTGAGATTTGCTTACACAGGTTTCAATGTTGAGAAAGTTCAGTACAAGAATGTGATGTTCACAGTTTGGGATGTCGGTGGCCAAGAAAAGCTTAGGCCCTTGTGGAGGCATTACTTCAATAATACTGATGGACTTGTAAGTCTCTCCTTCGTTTCCAATGCTATTCTCATTTCCGGGATCTGATTCTCCAGAATATGATTCTTGGTGGTATGCACATGCAGATATACGTGGTAGACTCCTTGGACCGAGAGAGAATTGGTAAAGCTAAGCAAGAATTTCAGGTTTGGATATATTGTACAAGGCTTTGTTTTGGGTAAAAGTAGTCTCTGTGGAGTTTCTAACCTCTGCTAATTTATGTCTTCAGGAGATCATAAAAGACCCATTCATGCTCAACAGTATCATTCTAGTGTTTGCAAACAAACAAGACATGGTAAATATCAAAACCTTGAGCTTTCCTTTTCTCTTCTCTTTCTTTCTCGTTTACCAAAAATCTCTGTGTGGAGGAGCCATATCTCAAGATTCCTCGTTATCCGGATCCCACTGCGGCGACAGGTCATAGGCTCCCCAATCGGCGCCATGGAGGGGAACGACGGCGTCTCCTGATCGGAGATAGTTATGAACAGCCCATTGGACTGCATAGGCACTTTCGTCGTTCAGATTGACTGCGTTGGTGTGCCGATCGGGAATATGGGAGAAGACGGCTGCACGGTGACTATTGTCCGCGTCGGCGATTTCTGGTCGAATCTCGGAGATGGCTACGAGGAGAATTGGAAATTGAACGAAAGAGAGATTTGTGTTTAACGCAGTCGTGTAGTGACAGATGACGTGTTTAAATTTTTTATTATAAAAACTGACTGGTATTATTTGTTATGTTTCCATTGGCTGACGGTTTTTTATGATGTATGAAGCTCAGAAAACTTGCAAAAGCTTAGCTGTCAACACCTCACATAAGTTTTTGCTGTGTTGATTAAAGCAATACACTAGGATTTAACCCGCACAAATGTGCAGAGCAAACTGTTGTTATTGTTGGTATGTTATATATTTGACATTTTAGTTTAAATGATGAAAGTTACAGAGGGTATTTGATATCATTGAAAGAGAGTGAAGAAGGAAGAAAGTTCAGAAATAAGAAATAAGTAATTAGAATAACAATTGTAAGCACACTTGATTCAGAGAGGTTTAAAAAGGGGGAAAAAATTAAAACGGATACGAAAAACAAATTGTTCATGTGGAAACATGATTCCTTAATCAATCTTTTGGTGTAGTGAACAACCCGTGAAACAAATATTTGTCCTTAAATTAACCCATAAAAATATATTATTCAACCCGGAAAAGGATATTATTGGACCCGTAAAAAGATATTATTGAACCATCAAAAGAAAAATTATTCAAACTTGGAAAAAATTATTCAATCTGTAACAACAAAAAAATCATTCAGTGATTCAACCCGTCAAAAAAGATTATTCAGTCCGTAGAACTTATTTAACTCGTAAAAGGATATTATTGAACCCGCAAAATAAATTATTCAACCCGTAGGAAACATTATTCAAACTGTAAAAAATCATCTAACATGTGTCAAAAATCATTGAGTAAAATAAACATATTTAATCCGTAAAATTAAATTATTCAATTCGTATAGCTTATTCAACCTTTAGAGTAAAACTATTCAGTCTGTAAAAGGATACTATTGAAACCGTAAAAGGATATTATTGAACCCGTAAAAGAATATTATTAAATCCGCAAAGGAATATTATTGAACCCGCAAAAGTAAATTATTCAAGCTGTAGAAAAAAATATTCAATCTGTAGAAAATTATCCAACATTTGTTAAAAAAATTCATCCAGTGAAATAAACATATATTATTGAACCCGTAAAGAATATTATTGAACTCACAAAACAAAATTATTAATCCCGTGGAAAAAAATATTCAATCTAAAAAAATGATTCTGTGCAATAAATATATTCAACCCATAAAAAAAAATTTATTCCATCTGTATAACTTAATCAATCCGTAAAATATAATTATTCAACCCTTTTACGAATATTATTGAACCCGCAATTAAAAAATTATTCAGAAAAAATTGTTCAATCTGTGAAACATTATCTAACATGTGTCAAAAAAAATCATTGAGTAAAATAAACATATTTAACCTGTAAAATAAAATTATAGAACTTATTCAACCCGTAAAATAAAATTATTCAACCCATAAAAAGATATTATTCAACACGTATAAAGATATTATTGGACCCGTAAAAGGATATTATTGAATCATCAAAAGAAAATTATTCAAAATTGAAAAAAGTTATTCAATCTGTAACAACAAAAAATTCATTCAGTGATTCAACCCGTAACAGAAAAGTATTCAATATGTAGAACTTATTCAACTCGTAAAAGGATACTATTGAACCCGCAAAATAAATTATTCAACCCGTAGGAAAAGTTATTCAAACTGTAAAAAACCATCTAATATGTGTCAAAAAAATCATTGAGTAAAATAAACATTTTTAATCCATAAAATTAAATTATTCAATTCGTATAGCTTATTCAACCTGTAAAATAAAACTATTTAATCCGTAAAAGGATACTATTGAACTCGTAAAAGGATATTATTGAACCCGTAAAAAAATATTATTGAATCCGCAAAAGAATACTATTGAACCCGCAAAAAAATATTATTGAACCCGCAAAAATAAATTATTCAACCTGTAGAGAAAATGATTCAATCCATAGAAAATCATTCAACGTCAAAAGTCAAAGGCAAATTCATTTTCAAATTGGATCGATCGAATTGTGGCTTCAACTCTAAAGTTTTCCTAGTTTTCTTCCCACTTTTTTCTCCTTCAAACCCTTGCAGAATTTCTGAATCTGCTCCATCACTTAGGTTTTCCTTATCATAATGCTCATGTCCATATGTTCTTTCACGGTTCCTTATTTTGAATTACTAAGATATGATTTATTGGTTTTGAATGTATTCCTTATTCACACTGTAGCATAATAGGCATTGTAATTCATGGGTCTAGATTTCATAAGATTTGATATTCTTCTTGTTTTATGTTCATATTCTTTTTCTCCGTCTCCGTCGTTTTTTAGGCGCAGTCGTTCAAGTAATCCGGTCAGACATTGGATCCATTATTGGGAAATCGACTGATGATCAACATACTGTTTTTCAAGGTCCGCCTCCTAAAAGCAATCGGAATGGCCGAGACTGAAAACACAATTCGAATTGAATTTGGATCATCTTCGGATATAATTTCGGTAATACCTCTTAACATAATCTTTGTTTCATCCTTGCATGCGAGATCAGAAAACTCATATCTTGTTTCTTTTTTCAACGCTGGGAGGCTCGAAATCGGACTCCACCTGATTTGGGAAAATTGAGGTAAACAATCTTTCGATCATTTCTTCTAATTTTTGTCTTTCTGCAGCCAAAAAGCTAGAAGAATCAAGGTCCACCTGTTAACAATATAACCCAGGTAATCCTTTGACAAAACTCATCTATGATTTTTTTGTTGAAGCCAAAAGAGAGGGACATTTGACTTCTTCTTCGGTTCTACTGTTAGGTAAAAGTGTTGAATTTTTATTTATAAACAGAGTAAGAAAAGAAAAAAGACATAACAGAGTAAGAGACAAGAGTTTGTCTCTTCTCTTATGAAGAAGAAGAATGTTAAACGAGGAATGATTTTATTGATTTGAAACTTGATGTGTTACATCGTGTTACATGGGTTATATAGTAAGACAACACACAACAAGAGTTGTGTCTCTTCATTAAACCTATCCAACCCTAACTGTCACAACAGTTACTTCTCCTACAAGCACCCTTTGATGCAACATACAATAATCACTTAATTGTATCATACGACCAAACTCAATTAAATCCAACAAAAAGAACAGTAGACGAACCTTGGTATGTCTTTTTTTGAATTTTTAATGACTTTGAACACTTTATTATAGAAGATTCGTAAATGATCTTAACTTATTTATGTTAGCTACGATCTGAGATCAAATTAAACTTGCAGAAAACATTGAAATCAAAGAAAGCCTCATTATTCAGAGTTACTTTTTACAACTAAGCAATTAAGAACAATAGTTATTGTCTCGTTTAATCTCTTTTTGATATCAGTGGGCTTGTTCTTCTTAGTCTCCTCCTCCGACTTAGAATTCTTGGCCTCCTCCTCAATAGTCTTCTCTAATTTGATGCAAAGCTTCTTTGATGTAGATTGCAGATCAAGTGCATCAGAAGGGACATGATTATCAATGCTTCTTTGATGTAGAATTCTTGGCCTCCTCGTCATTTTTACGCTTAGATGAAGGTGTTACAAAAGGGACATGATTTTCCTGGAGCATAACATATGATTAGAAATTGTATATGATTACAAAACATATACTCTACATATACTCATTTGTTGTCCTTTACAGACCCATGGCATGGCTAATGGTGAAATTCTAGATAAACTTCCATTTGTTTATCGCAGTGTTGTACATTCTCCTTTTTCACATGAGCCTGAATTTGTGTTTCCTGTAAATTACCACAGCCGTATATGTTAAATCATCGTTATTGCATACTTGCATATCATATAATAAAAAAAGTCATTATTATACTAAAACAGGTTTTCAGATCTATTTTCATTACCTCAACATTTCAGAGAATAATTTCGATGGTCTATCTTGATGAGAATGTGTATTGCCTTCATAGGTGCAGGATCTTAACTTAATTCTCCAGGCGGAACTGAAAGGCTTCATGTTCTTGCATAATGTGACCGGAAGAGCATTAACCATGATTCTACTTTGGTTTTGTTGCTTAACAATTTCGAGGTCTGTTCTCCAAAGTGATGCCTCTACAATTTATTTATAGTGACTCAAGTAGTAGCTCATTAGGTTTCTAATCATTTAATTCCGAATATCCTCATAGAGCCTAAAATTATGCAAAGTTACCCATTTCTTTGTACGACCTCTTAATTTTTGTCTATCGAATATTCTAGTTTCTAAAGATATTGTTGTTTCAGTTTTTGAAATGAGCTATAATTGTGGGATATCAACACCTAATCAGCAATATTATCGTCTTTCCCTATTTGGAATTTCAGTTTTAAAGGCGAGAAATAATATATACTATTAAAGTAGAGGAACAACTTAAGAAAAGTGCACTAAATTGTTATTTTGATTATTTAAGGATGAGATGAAAAGTGCACTAAATTCCCCACACTCACGAACCATTTAATAGTTTCCAAAATCCCCAATTTATGTTCACTTAATTGTGAAATTATGTAACCCTAATTACTCAAATCAGTATAGCCACTCCTAATTCCGCACAAAATCATATGAAAAAGTTCATTTTCACTTCTCCAATTTCACTAATTTCAAATCGAAATTAGGGTTCTTACCTTCTCCAGACGCAATCGACTATCACGAATCCTTCTTCTTCCACCTGAATTTGACTTCTCCCCGAAAAAAGTTTGAATCAAGAGAGAAACATGAAATTCGTTTTTTGATGGTGAAGGAAGGGAAAAAATGGCTACTTTGAGTCGTTTAAACGGGATAAAATGGGGGTCGAGAACCGTTTTTCTCTTGTTAAAATGAGAAGGAATTTATTTGACCCGATTAGAATTCGATCGCGAGTCTGGATGGGCAAGCTACTGGTTGGGTCTGTAATTTTAGTGAGTTTTTAAGGTTATTTTGTCATTTTACATTTTCTCCACTTAAAAGAAAATGGAAAAGAATTTCTTCGTTATAACGGAGATAGACTAGAATCACTTTGCTCGATTAAGACTATAGGAGTCATTGTTCCAACTGATAACCAAAAACA